AATGTATGAAGGAAGAGCAAATGGAAAAAGAAAGTGACCATTGAGGCATATTTGAATGGAGTTTATTGAATGCTGATAAAGAGATGAGAAGTTTTAAGAACAGATTAGTGCATGAAAGAAAAATTCAGTATGATAAAGCAGGACTCAGTTGCAAGCTTAAGAAAAAAGCATGGAGAGGAAGACGAAACAGTGCTGGTGTTATTTAGGTTTAGTGGCATTTCTCCAACCCCACCCTGCCACATTTCTTTGTTTACTACGTAATACTTACAGATAATCCTCACTTAACAGCCATTCAAGTGGCTTCAAGCCGTTCATAGCATTGAACGAATGTTAGTAACAACCACTCCTTGAAGTTAGAGACATTGCAGCACCCCCACAATTAACATAATCAAAATTCAGGCGCTTGGCAGCTCACCCACATTTACAACTACCATGTGCTCCAGCCTCCCCCATCCGCCTATCATCTCTACCCTTTTATTTTCCCTGCATTCTGCCTTATTAGCAGTTGGAGGAAGAAATGGATCTGAGTTGTGGAGTGCAAGTTGACCAAAAGAGCAGAGATGGAGATGATAGGCGGTTGGTGGGCATTAAAGCAGAGATGAGTGCAGAAGGGTGAAGTCCCTATCATTGGCATGGATCCTGTCTAATATACTGCAACGGACTACCAGAACTGCCATTAAGAATCAGAGCGGTCATGGGATGTTTCACTTTGGAAATTAGGGATGCTAAGGAAAAACCATGTGTATTTTTTTTTAAATAGTGTTCCTTATAGCAAAAGGGAATAACATGGATGCATCTGGATGTATATTACTGAAATGTTACATATTTATTTGTTACAACAATCCATAAGAACCAAAAGAAAAACAGAGGTACTCTTCTCTCCCTCCCCTCCCCCCATCACCAGACAAACAGTCATCCTGGTCCAGTGCTTGAGAGAAGACACAAGTCATCCCACCCTCAAGTCATCTCACCCTCCAAAAGAGTAAACGGGTAGCAATTCCTCAGATGTATTGTAAAAGGTTAGGACCACCACCAGAAAGGGTCATATCAGAGGTTCCATCAGGTGGCAATATTTAAGGGGGGGATGACCTGGATACACATATGTTATCTAAACTACTATCATAGACAAGTACTCTCAGGAAGAGGCAGAGCTGCAAAAAACATGGCCCTATTCTACGTGTGAAATATGCTAACACCATGAAAACTGTTACAATAATATGGCATTTTACTAATACTTCATTCA